ATAAATAAATAAATAAATAAATAAATAAATAAATAACACTGTTCCCTTTTCTTTGATCACCTTCGCAGAAACGTTTCCGTTTTACAACTAATGTGCGAAAGCCTTTGTACCAGACAGAAAGTGGGCAGTGTCAGGCTACCGTAATAAGATTTTATTGCTGTTGGCTTTTTGACAAGCCTCAGCATGCTTCCACGTTCAGCCTTCCTTCTAAATTTCTCGTTGGAGTTCCTGCCCGTCCTCTCTCATCTCTTTTTTCTAATTTAGCCAGCAATATATATATATTGCTGTATATTGTATATATTTGCAAACTTAAGCACAACAGCCTGTTCCCACATTGCACTGCAAAGCTATCCTTTCTTTAACTGTGATTAATTGGATAAACTACCATGACACCACCCACTGAGCTGATGTTCCCCAACCGGAGAGCTCTCTAGAGTAGTGTTTCTCAACCTCAGCAACTTTAAGATGTGTGGACTTCAACTCCCAGAACTGACATTGATTAGGTTTAACCTTGGTTTGAATTGGGGGGGAGAGGTGCATTTTTTATGAATAAAGCTGGTTTGGTTAGTGGGTGATTCGATATCTTGCATGAACCCAGAAATGGGCTAGTTCAGTGACCCCCAAGTTGTGCAACTCATGTGACCACAAGCAGGTTGCATCAATGACACAATCTTGTAAAGCCTTATCATTCAGTTGATAAATTGAAGTGGACTTTCCCCTCCCCTGCCCTGATAATCCAGCTAGCTGAAGATGGAGATACATCATTCAACATTCCCTTGTATGTAAAACGTAGATGCACTCTAGAAAGAACCTTTAGTAGATTCTTATGCTGGTCTATGACCATAATAAAGATTTGATTGATTGATTGATTGATTGATTGATTAGTAGATTCTTGACAAGATCAAGAGGAACATTCCCCTTTTTTGGAGGAAAAGAAGCTATTTTGCTTTCTAAAAAGGGAACCTTGAACCACCATGATCTCCAAAATCAGTGGAGCAATCCAAAGATGTATTTGACCAAGGATCAGAGGAAGGACAATTCAGGAGAATGCTGGTTTCTCCTGGCGCCTTCCCCGGCCTTTCAGATGGGCTGGATGTTAATTCCCATAATCCCCAGCCATACGGTGGAAAACCTTGACTCAAGGGAGAAAGCAAAAGGCAGCCGATTTGCCCTTCCTTCTCTTCTACTAAGTTATTCCCTTACCTGTATATTGGAAAGATTCTCCAGGGATGGAAATGTAACTCTGTCCTTGTAACGGGAAGCGATATTGAGGTACATTCAGGAACTGAGGAGGTATTTTAACCAGGGAGTAATCTATATAATAATGCAAACAATGATCAAAAACTCGAAGGAAAGGGAGAGAAAAATCATCAGTTAGTCCTTTTTTCCTGCTTCAATGAGGGGGTTGTTCTGTTCCTGCCTATTGTTAAGCCCCTTAGTCTAGTCTCTGAACACTTCTGGCAATCAGGTTGTCTTGAAGAAAACTGCCAGGGGAAAAAAAGATACATTAGAGCTTTAAGTGGAAAAAGAGAGGGGACTTTATCATTTTGCAGCAGGTAAAAAATAAAAAAAGGAGAAACCAAGAAGGGAGAAATGTGGCTTTTTTAAAAAAATCTCTCTGGCTTCATGGAGGCAGGCGGTGATCCTCAGACCAGCAGGGATAGCTTGGAGGCACTGATTATACAGATGGAGGCCTGTGTTTTGATCTACGCCGCTGAGTGCAGAATTTTAATCTGCTTCCAGCACAAGGCAAACAGACCTGGAAGAACCTTGGCTGGTGCATGACAGACGCAGCCATAAGCGAGGCCGTCAAGTGACAACCACAACGCCTGTGCGAAGCGCATGACCTTAAGCAAATCCACTTTGAGGAACCTGATCTACAACTGTCAACTGAGCTTCCCATTTCTTTTCTTTTTCTTGCCTTCCTTCCTTCCTTCCTTCCTTCCTTCCTTCCTTCCTTCCTTCCTTTATTTATTCATTCATTCATTCATTTATTTATTCATTCATTCATTCATTGGATTTGTACAGCCACCCATCTCAAACCAAGTGACTCGGGGCGGCGAACACCAACAACGAAACGGTTAAAACGCAGACAAAAACAGAAATGAAATGCAAACAGCAGCCAAGAGGTATTATAATCTGTCAGGGTCAACAACGCCAGGGCCCTTCACACACTCGGGACCCCAGGCCCGAGCACATAGACCTGGGCAGGTCTTCAAGGCCTTCTGGAAGGCCAGTAGGGTTGGGACCATTCTAATCTCTGGGGGAAGAATGTTCCAGAGGGCAGGGGCTATGGCAGAAAAGTCCCTGCCAGTGTGATGGAGGGTATCTGTGAGGAGGTAGGTGATGTGGGAGATTAAGGCTATCAGGAGGGAGGGGTTTCATTCTGGGAGGGGAAAGGAGACAAGAGACAACACAGTCCACAGGGGGAGCATGAGAAGAGAAAGAGGTTCAGGAGAGCCCCTCCCTAGAGTCTCACGGGGAATATCCCCTAGCTGCTGTAGTATAGAGTTAGTTTGGCAAGTTTCTGTCTATAAGGTGTGAGCTAATAAAGGAACTGGACTGGACTGGACTATTTCATCGTTGTTCTTGGGCTGGGCCTGACAGCCAGCCAACATTCCTTGGCTGACGGGACCCAGAAGATGCCCATCCTGCCGCATTAATTGTAGATGTCCCTCAATAATAGATGAACCTTCCACCCCAGCGAAAACGGGAAAGGAAAATTTCCATCCCTCATCAGCCAGTGAAAAGCTGCAGAGGCATCTTTAGCTTTGCTCTACTTGGATGATCCATCTCCTGTGTTGGAGAACAAAACTGGAGAGGGGACTAATAAATCTCACCTGCCACGGGTGAGGTGCCTTGGACAGTTATGGTCGAAGGGCTTCCTCCTAGGTTGTGGGCGACGTGAAATATCACATTGTCGATGGTGGACACCAGCCCTCCAGCAAGGGATGCTGTCTGAAAGCAAAATGTCAATGCCAGAGTGATGAGTGATGATGGAGGCCTAGCAGGGCTCCAGAAGAATCCAGGTAATATCTCAGAAAATCTTATCCTTACCTGGGTCATGTCAATCCAACCAGGTAGCATAAGAACTCCTTCCACAGATTTAAAGAAAATCTACAAATAAACAGTGATAGGTTATTTGCTATGATATTAGCATCATCATCATCAACATCATTCAGAAATCAGGAGACACCTCTTCTTGCATATTGTCAAGAGAGATCTCTGCCAGCATCTGGTATTTGTAGAGTAATGTTTTACAGCAAGCAGGATTTTCTGAATATCTACACCACAAAACTCTGATGATGTTTCATGAGACTTATAGAAACTCATGTAAAGTTTTTCTATGAAACTGTCTAAAAGAGAAGCACTGGGGGGTAGGAACAGATGCCAGCAGAATGGATGTTAGCATCTCTTTTCAAGTATTTCTCTTATTTTTTTTTTTTAAAGACCAAAATAACACCTATTTTCTGTCGCCTTTTTTTGCTTGTTGGACAAAACACGCACTCAGACAAGCCTAGAAAAGGTATCAGAAAAGAAATTTCAGCAGCTGTTTATCACCATTTCTTTCTCATTCCAACAGTGCATAATGTTAGTTTACCAGTCTGCACTTACAAGAAGCCCTGTCAATAAGGGAAAAAACTAGGAAACACTTGATTTGCATATGGAAGATCCCAATTTTGATTCACAGCATCTCTGTTGGTTTGCACAAATTATCTTCTGTTTCCTCCAGGGGATCAAGCAGCATACACAAGAACTACGTGCACCGATTTTCTCCTGCAAGCACAGTGCAGTGAAGTGGCTTGGGCTGAGAGAAGGGGACTGGCCGAAAATCACCAGGGAGCTTCTGTGGTTGAGGGTGGACTAGAACCTGGGTCTATCCCCTCCAGGTCCGTCACCTCCATTACTATCACACCCCGCATGCCTTTCGAGTCTCCAACATGGCCTTTGGGCCCAAAGAAGGTGCATTCCCTTGATCTGGATTTCAATTCTCACAATTCTCACCAGCAATCAGAGGTAGGAAAACACACCAGGATGAATCAATGGTTTGACTCAACCCAAGGCTGTTTCCTATGCTCCCTCATGGCTCTAAGATTACAATTCTCATGCGTGCTTTTCCATAGCCCACTTGGGAGTCCTACTTAAGCAGCAACCAAATGCTTTTCCATAAGGATCTCCTGCATACTTATATCAGAGTCTTTTAGAAAGTTCACAGTAGTGCAAGGGAGGAATTACAGTTCTCTTTTTCCTTGCTAATGCAAAAAAGTTTCATACCTTCTATTCCTGCAAGCCCATGCCCAAAAGACATTACTACCACATTTGCATGAAGCCCGCTTGTGTCATCCCAGAGAACCACTACAGCTCTTTTAGAAGCTTTGAAGCATAAGGAATAGAACGATACTTTATATTTCTCAGATTAAAAGATTTTTCAAACCCTTAAATCCACGGGTACTGCTCACTGATACATATTCATGGAGGAGAAGACTATTTCTTTCCAATTTGCAATGTTTAGTAACTGATTGAGATCTGTGGAGTTTCTGTCACTCTACATCTACTGGCATTTACAGAGTCTCTTCAAGTTGTGAAATAAAAATCCTGCATTAAAGACCTGAATACATTTCATTCTGAACCCACTTTGAGCTTATGAAACCATTTTGATCCTGTTGATGCCCCCCACCCCTCACAGAGGCCTTTGTGTCCAGTACATCATAAAGTTGTGTGAAAAAGATTCAGAAAGTTTCCATCTCAATATAGGCATAAGTATGTTGGTTCTAAGTTGAAAACAATTCACTTGCTGGAATTCTTGTATAGTTACTGCTTTCATCTTAATAAATCTTGGTAAAGAAAACTCCGTGAAAGTAAATTACTTTCAATCCAGGCAGCTACCAAAGATGAGAAACACAAAAGTATAGCACTCTTTCTTTGATTTGCCCAGATGTACTATGTATTTCTTCTACTAGGCAAGAGATGGATGGATGGATGGATGGATGGATGGATGGATGGATGGATGGATGATTGATAGATAGATAGATAGATAGATAGATAGATAGATAGATAGATGGTAAATCTGATAGATAGATAGATATCCTGTTTCATTCTTTATAAATTTGAAAGGTTGAGTTGCAATTCATCCATGCCATCTTCCTTGGCATCTGGTAGAAGCCATGTTGATGTCAAGCATATCATGATGTCATTGCTCAAATGACATGCGTTTGACAAAATCAATGACCTCATAACCCATGTGTTGTCACTTGTCCCCTGGCAGATGCCCAAGCGCTCTCTGCATCCTTTTTTCTCAATCTACTAATGCCATTTTCTATTTTCTGTAAGGTAGAAATAAAAACAGCTTTATTTGACTAAAAGATGACGGGAACGTGCCGACGATGCACTGACTAAGACCCAAAGGACATTTACCTCTATGAATTACCTTAGTAAGCTGATTAATAGATGAAAGAAATTTACCTTAGTAAGTTGATTAAAAAATGGGGGGTGGGGGTGGAAATTACCTCTGTAAATTAGGAAATGGACTCAATACGTTGATTAACAGATGAAGAAAAATTACCTCAGTAAGATTGTATGCAATATTTGCTGTGAGAGATTCATTAGGCAAGGCGTATGAAATGTTTTTCAAATAGTCCAACGTGGCAGGTGGGTACTGGACATGGCGTTTTCCCTCTGTGAGACTAATTATGGTGGATTGGTAGGCATTTCTTGAGATCTGTAAGATGAGCGCAAAATCACATTCACTGAAAAGTTCTGTTCTTCATCGGTGAAGGTTATTGAAATAAAATGTCCTTTTCTTCAACATCGGCTTTGACTCAACATTGACAGAGGAAACAAGGCTCTCTTTTGACCCGAGGACTTTCAGAAAGATACATCTACTAGATAATTAATTTTATTTTGTATACATTTACTTTCAGGCTTCATCCCAAAACTATCTGGGGTAACAAGGAAATCTATTTTGATAGAAGGGCCTCCCCCCAAAATTAAACTTCCTGGATAATTTGTTCTATTTTCATCTGCTTATTTTATGAACTTTCTATCTGGCTTTCCATGCCATCAATAAAGATTGAAAGGTGGTTTCCAGTTTAAATGGAATAAAATACAATTCAATCCGGAAACCAGTTACTTAATTCAATCTTCTACTGCAATTTTTCCTTTGTGAAAATTCCACTGTTAAAATAATTCATTGCTCTTACTGACCCGGCTCGAAAGAAGGTTTTAATCTAAACCACAAAGGTCTCCACAGCTACACAGTGTCCTAAAGTTGTCTCTATTTCCCATCAGCTCCTCTCTACAACCCAGTCCATCACCTTAACCACTACACCACCAAATGTACAAATTATGCATTTTAGGGAAAGTTGCATACAAAATATGTGCAGATTTTCATGCATTTTTTAATTCACAGATTGATGCAGAAATTGAGTGGAACACCTGTGGACGCAAATAGGAAACCTGACGATTTGGGGCAGATTTTGAACTCTCCCCAGACATCAAAACTCGGTCTTCAGGACCCTATGTGAAGATCAAAGCTTATCGGTTGCTTTTCTTACTCTTATTTCAGCTGACTGAACGCTTGGAATGATATAACTTTCTTTTTTTCCCTAACATAAGCAACCTGGCAGTGACAAGGAAAGAATTTCAGGAATGCACCTACCACGGGAAGCGTGGCAGTTGTTTGCCATCCCCATGGAGCTGTTGAAGCAAGCAAAGACTGGTCACCTAGAAACAACGGTGAGAAATATTACACATGAATTTTCCCTTTGGTACAGAGAATCGGGGTGGGGAATATAATCCAGGGTAACATTTGACCTTACCAGCAGAAAAGTTCCATTACCAAATGTGAGACTGATTACAAGGGTCCCTACTCAGTTTGTTGAACGATCAGATGGTTGGCCCCACCAGGATATCTTTGGTAGCAAATTATTTTCAGAAGTACCGCCTCCCTTCAGTACTTTCCCACCCACTAAGTTCTTCTAAACTTTGGCTTTCAGGAATTAATCTCAGTATGGACAAATAGTGTTCCTTTCTTCTCTGCAGCATCACTCATTTTAAAGTGATGTCTTGTTTTGCTAAGTTACTTTCTAATTTTGTGATCTAGATTCAATGCAAGAGAAGATGGGGATATGAGAGATGAGTTGGAGGAAGCAGGATTACGGGCCCGTTGGTGCATTTAGGCAATTCACTGCAGTATCTAGAAAACACTATTGAGAATTCAAAGCCACAGGTAAATATCTGGGCTAGCCAGTTCCTTGTGGAAAATAGCTTCTTGGTACAGTGTTTTCAGTATTATGATAATCTTGACGGAAGCTACAGTTTAGCGAGAGGACCTATGGTTTGCTTTCAGGAAAACCAAGTTAAATCTGCAGACTTTTCGTCTGAGAGTAGATGTTGAGCAGGGGGGAAGTTCTGCCTAAAAGTACAAAGTAGTGTTGTTCGATATTGGGAAAGGTGGACAAACAGTCTGACTTTTTATAGGTTATTTAATTTTTTATTGATTGATCATATTTATAGAGCTGCCCATCTTGCAAAAGAATAATTCTGGGTGGTGGACAACACTCAGTGACAAAACCCATAAATACATATAAAATAATCATTAAAACTATGTTTGTCAGAAGCCTATGCAGGTCTTCTAACCCCTAGATACTTAATAGGGTGATTTTCTCTCTCAAAATCAGGATTATAATTACGGTCATCTTATCCAGACTTTGCAAACCCTTGTTAAGAGGAAATCTTCCTGTAGTATCACAGAGGACATTGAGCGTTCTGTTAAAGGATGCTTTATAAAGGAAGTGTGTTTTTAACATATTTTAATTAATTAATTAATATTTATCTATTTTAA